AGCAGGCCAGGCTGGGCTTGGGAGGCGGACAGGGACAAAGGGGCTGGACTGGTCTCCTGGTCAGCCCAGGTGAGGGGACTGATTGATTCTAAGAAGGAGCTCCTCTAATGAAAACTAGCTTCAGCTCCTTCCACTGGACTATAGGGTTTCCAGACCCTTAAACACCTTAGCCACCCTTCTCAGGTCTAACTCCAGTTTTGAGAAAAAGAGAGAGATGATCGTAGACACAAAGAAATGGGGAGAGTAGGGGAGAAGGGAAAGGATTGGAGTAGAATTAGAGAAAATCTCTATGCTAGAAAAGCCCCTTCTAGAAGGCGCATGAGAGACCATCTAGTCTAACCCTATCATTTTACAGATGAGGAAATTGAGGCCCAGAGCAGCTAAGCTAGCAGTTGTCCAAGGTTACAATCAGTGCTGAAAGTCAAACCAAGGACCTCTGACGAAAACTCCAACACTCCTTCCACTTAGATGAGATGTATGGACTCTTCTAGATCTAAAAACTGTGATCCGAGTGTGAGACCAAGGTATAGCTGAGAGAATGCATAGGAGCAGGAGAAAAGGAGAGAGGGAGTAAAAGGCCCTTGGCCCCATCCCTACCTCCCAGCTCTGGAAACCTTTCCCAGAGGGGCCAGTCTTAGGCCTTTCAATGGTGGGAGGAGGCACAGGGTGGCAAGGGACAGAAAAGCAGCCCTATGGGACTCCCAAGTCAAAGCTGGAGGATGGCAGCAATAAGGGGAGGTCCCCTCGGGGGATACCCTACTTGGCCATAATCATTCCTGGCTTCAAGAATGGGGAAGGGAGAGAACACACACACAGACCAGAAACACAAGCACACAGTCATACAGACCACACACACACACACAGAGTCATACAGACCAGACACATACATACATACATACACAGTCACACAGACTAGACACACACACGCACACAGAGTCATACAGACCAGACACATACATACATACACACACAGACTAGACACACACACACAGAGAGACACATACATATATACACACACACATACATGCACAGTCATACAGACCAGACACATACATACATACAGTCACACAGACTAGACACACACACACAGAGTCATACAGACCAGACATACATACATACAGTCACACAGACTAGACACACACACACAGAGTCATACAGACCAGACATACATACATACAGTCACACAGACTAGACACATACACACACAGAGACACATACATATATACACACACACAGTCATACAGACCAGACACATACATACATACACACATACATATATACACACACACAGTCATACAGACCAGACACATACATACATACACACATACATATATACACACACAGTCATACAGACCAGACACATACATACACACAGTCACACAGACTAGACACACACAGTGTCACACAAACCAGACACGCACACATACAGACACATACAGTCACACACACACAACCCTTGAACTAAAGCCTTCTGGAGCTGTGGGCCCATTCCACTTGGCCAGAGGTGGGGAAGAACACATGTTCTTAGTTCTTGGCAGGGTTGATAGGGTTTCTGGAGAGAAGACTGAAGTTTCAGGCTTCTTTTGGATTCCTTCTCCATACATACGTGTGCAGAACCCTCACCAGGAATTTTTTTCATCCAGGGCAAGGAACACAAAATACTGACAAGTGGTAGGAAAGGCATCGTCAGTAGAAAGGGAGAGGGAAGAGTGCCAGGTTAGACACTGCCCCTTGTGCATGCTGGGTGGTGGTGGTGCAGGGTGTCAGGGGGACACAGCTGGTAGTTTCTGGTTTAGACTAATTATTTTTGCTTAAGTGCTAAGCTCTTCTTTAATCCCCACTCCTAAAAAATTGCAAATGCTGTCAGTGCCTCTAAATTTCACACCCTTGGGCAAAGCCCCAGTCACCCTGCCTTAGGTAAGGCTCTATACCTTAGAGGCATTAAGTGTAGTGGATAGAGAACTGGGCTTGGAGTCTGGAAGACCTGGGTTCAAATCCTATCTCTGACACTAGTTAGGTCACTTTGGGCAAATCGTTTAACTTCTGTGTACTTTAAACACTAAGACTTACCTCTTAAGTCCTGTTATCTGCATTGGTAAAAAGGGCTACTCTGACAAAATACTTATGTATATACACACATACATCATATATATATATGTACATATACATATACATATATATTTTTAATTTTTTTTCCTCCTAGAAATTTCAGTCACACAAGTCCAATAAATAAGAGCACGTGGGTTTAATAGGTACAGACAGAGAACCACTTCACTTAAATCTGAAGATACACACACACACCATAATACACACATACACAACACACGAATAACACAATAGACACATATAACACCATACAATACATACATACAATACACTCACATATAAAATAAACAAACCAGCAAATATTTTTGATTTGCCTTGTTTAAAAAATATTACATTTTCATAATATTTTTGAAATAAAGCTAAATGAGATAATTGATTTTTTTAAAAATCCTCTTCCTTCATCTTGGGACCTTCCTCTAAAGAGACATAAATAAATGGATGCCCTGTACCTTGGCCTGGGCAGTCGTGTCATCGAGGGTATGAATAGCTTCATCCCTCCACCTCAGCGGAGCCTAACAATTTCAAAGGGAATGGGGAATGGAAGGATGAGAGAAGGAGCCCCTCTTTCCCAGCCCCAACTCTTTTGAAAGTTATATCTGCCAATAACTTTTGGGAGAGTACAAGGCAGAGAGCGGGGGAGGAGGGTTGTTTTCTTTAAAAATAATTTTTTAAAAAGCCTTTAAACTTGGCTTCCCTTGTCAGAACAGTGTGACTGTCTGCACTCTCCTCTTCTCCCCCAAAATACCCATTAGCATGTATCCGGAGATTAAGCAAACAGAGGACAAGTCAAGCAAAACAAAAACCTAACTGGAGGACAACCCTCCCCCCCCATTCTAGGCTCACTGGTATAGTAGAAAGAACACTATTTGGAACCAGATATCCTGCTAGTACTAGCCCATATGACCTTGGCCAAGTCACTTCTTAGGTATGGGTCTCAGTGTTTCCTTCTCTGTGAAATGGGTGGCAAGGGGAGTCGGAGGGTGGGAACAGACCTTGAAGGCCCCTATGCTGCGTTTAGGTCCTGACTGGTATTTCCCCAGTTTTGGAGAGCTCAGAATTCATATGCCACCTGTTAGTATATGAGGTGAGTCTGTACTATTTTATTCCAATATTTTTTTTTGCTTCTTTTTTTCTTCTGGACCACAGGAGAATAAACCTTACTATTTACAATATATAACAGGAAAGTGAGATATCTACATTAACATAAATATGTTTCGTTTTGTTTTAAATACAGCAACTCTCCAGGCTTCAGTGTGTGAATTAGGATACCAGGAGTTCCCTTTCAGTAGTTACTCACGTCTGCTCCTAACTCGGCACTTTTCTCTAATGATCTCCTAGCTCTTGCCTCTCACCTGTCAAACACATGGCTTGGAAAAAGAAAAATTATACACACGAATTTTATATTTATATATATACATACATACATACATACACACATTGCTCATATATACATATATACACACACATACATATACACACACAGAAAAATATACATATATTTATATATATATATATAATATATAAAACACTGTCACAAGCTATTGTATTACCCATTCAGCTCCTTTACCCTTTACCTCTAAAACACACAATTAGGCATGGCAGAATAACTCTAAATTCTACGACCTAAGAACTATCTCCAGGTAACATGACCCCAAAGGCCATTCTGGTATCCATCTGCCTTCCTTAGCCCTAAGAAAAAGGACCTCACTTTGACTGTGAGCTCCTTGAGGGCAGGGGCTGTCTTCTGCCTTTCTTTGTATCCCCAGCACTTAGCACAGTGCCTGGCACATAGTAGACACTTAACAAATGCTTGGTGACTGTCTTCGGCGTGTGAGAGAATGAAGAGGGAGAGAGACCCCCAAAGGCAGGGCCTCATAACTGAGCCTAATGATACCACATTCAAACCAGAAGTTTCTTTGGAAAAGTTTGTGACAATAAATAGAAGTCTTGAGAGCAGGGAGGGCTGTCCGGTAATGCAGCCCTTCCTACTTTCATCCCATTCCAGCTTCGCCAATAAGACGGTGTTTTACAAATGGCTTCATTTATTAGACCTCCTCCTCCACCAACCTAAAGCCATCCCCCACACCCCTTCACCCCCCAAAAAAAAACTCAGGTCAGCCCAAGTCCTTTGTCTCCCCAACCCCACCCACCCTCTTACGGCCCCAGTGGGTCTCGATCCCCAAACACCCAAAAGAAATAGTGCTTGCTTCATACAATCTCAACCTAAGAGAATTTCTTCTCTCTCTCCCATTCCCCACCAATCTTAGAAAATCTCACCCCAGAATTTCTCTTCCCACTCCCCCAATCCCAACCCGAAGTAGAAGCACAACAGTAAGTAAGAGCTACCACGTGAATTAAGCTACCCAAAGGATCTTCATGCACCCCTTCTTCCCCAGGCCTTTGTCCTCCCATCTCTCAAGGTCAAGTTCAGGAGAATCCAGCCAAATCTTACAATCTCAGGGAAAGGCAGAACAGAACAAATCCAAAGGGTCATCCTGGTTATCACTGCTTCAGCCCACACTAGGAATCCTGGACCACTGGCCGGCAGCTCATGAAATCCCGGGAGAGAGGAACAAAGCTAAAAGGCTAGATGCCTCACTGAAACCCAGTGCACTCAAGGGTTCCTAGGAGGACATGGGGTGGGGGCAGTGTTGGATTCCACTTCACAGCTTTAAAAGCATGATTTTTTTTTAATTGGGAGAGAGAAAGGTCAGTCCTTATGATGTTACCCCCTCCACTCACACAGAAAGGGCACTGGGCTTCACTATCCCAAATTACTAAATAGGAACAGTTTTGTGTCTTTGTGTGTGTTTTTATGTCTTTTTTGTTTGGTTTTATTTGAAAAAAAAATCTTCAATTTAGTGGTTTCCAAAAAAAAAAAAAAAAACACAAAGCAGAGTCAAGGGAGGAAGAAGAGGGCAGGGCAAGGGAGAGGCAGGGGTTGGGCCAGATATACCATTTGGACAGACCGTCAATGGATAAAGTCCAGACAGGTACAATCCCCTTCTCTAGATGTGAGGGTCTTACTGTCCCCACTCAGACTCTGCCCATCCCTTCAGAAGTAGGAAATGTGCGCGGATATGAGACAAGATGCGCAAGAGATAGGGAATAATAATAATAATAATTAATAATATTAATAATAACAAATGACAACAAAAAGTAATCACTGACATTTGCTCTAACTAGAAGAGAAGTGCCTGGTGTCATTCTAGAAAAGAAGGGAAGGGAAAATCCAATTAACTCAATCCGCTGTCAGGACAGGAGTGGGGAAGGAACAGGGGCCAAGCATCCAATTCCCTGATTCAGACAGACTCCGAAGACAGCCTTCTAGTGGTCTTGCTTTCCAAGTCAGTGATAGTGCCAAAAAAGGGGAGGGGACTTAGGGAACCAGCTGGGAGAGTCATGAGCCTTCCTTCTCTGGACTCGTTGGGGTTCTGAAGACCTCCTCTGTTCCATCACCCTTGTTGGTGAGGAGCCCAGGGGAGATCTGGGGAGTGTGGAAAGAGCCCTATTCTATGGAAGCCAGAAGACAGGATCACAAAACCTTTAAGCTGGATGGGAGCTCAGACAGCCTCTCTCCACGATTAACCTGTACACAAAGCATGAGTTCCTGAAACAGTATCCTCCAACAAGTGGCCACAGATGACCTCCAGCAAAGCAGAATTCACTACCTGCTCAAAAAGCCTGTTCTACCTTAGGGCATCTCTCATCATTAGAAAGTCCTTCCCACACATTGGGTGAAAATCTCCCTTTCTCCAATGAGGACTCAGTCATTGCTCCAAGGTTTGTCCTAGGACTCGTTTTCATGCCCAGGCTGCACTCCCTCTTGCTAATGAGACTGTGGGCAAAGTCCGGTTCCTCACCTCCTGACGCTTCAGGGGGCTGGACTGGAAAGCCCCTTCCAGCTTAAAAATTCTGTTTCCCTGCCACTCCAGGCTCCTTGGGCAGTTCTGGCTTCAGTAAGGACCTTTAGCTGCCCTCTTCCACCCTGGCCTCCGAGAAGAAGAAAAAAAAAAAGGAGACACCTAGCAGACTCCCTCCTCTTCCTCTCTCAGTTACCTCAGCCCTGACCAAAGCCAGACTTGGAGAAGAGAGTGCAGGAATGGAAGGAGTCCCACTTACGTCCTGGACTTCTTTTACCTCTGTTTGGGGGGATAGTCAGCAAGTGAGGAGGTGGGAGAAAACGCATGGAATCGGGGAGAGAGTGGACAGAGACACCTGTTAGAACAGTTCAGACTGAGTGGGCAGCTGGGGTCCCAGATTCTAAGGGTGGTGTGGACGGGAGGGAAGGAAGAGAGGGAAGGGCTTGAAGATCAGTACAGCTGGGTAACCCCACCAGCCCCCTGCGCGCGCACAGGCACACACAACCACACACACGCGCACGCACTCACACATACACACAAAAGTGCTTACATCATCAACATTGCCTTCTGAATCTAAGAACCGCCCCTGTCAAACCCTGTGTGTCGGTCTCGAGGCCAGAGGCAGAGCGGAGTCTTGTCCCCTCCCCCCCGGCAGACGGTTGGCCCGGCAGGCGGTCAGTCTTTGCAGGTGTAGACCTCCTCCCTCTGGGTGCACTGTTTGCACTCCACGTAGCAGCACCAGCGTACCTGGCACTGGCAGGGCCGAGTCACCACCCGGCTCTGCGTGTTGTGCCCACGCCCACAGCACATGCTCTCACAGTTCTTGTCCTTGTAGCACTTCCGGCCAGCTGTGCCCGGGGAGAACCGGCTCGCCAGGCAGAAGCTGGGGGAGTCATCCAAGTGCACCAGGTCTGGGGTGCGCGGGAGAGGGTCGGTGCCGGGCCCGGAAGAACCTAGGGCCCTTCGCGGAGGCGGGATGTCTCCAGCCTCACCTGTCGCCTCGTTGGTGGTGCTCCCCACCTTGAGAGAGGCCTCGTATTTCTGCTTCAGCTGTTTGCCCACTTCGTGGAATGGTGAGAGCTGGCGCCAGCAGGTGCGGACCGTGCACGAGCCGGAGACCCCGTGACATTTGCAGGTGGTCTCCACACCAGCCTTGATCACCTGGGGAAGAAAGGAAGCAGGTGGGGAAAGTCATGGGAGGAAGAGGAGGAACCAAACACCCCTGCACCCCGCTCAGCTACACCAAAAAAGCAAAAGGAGAAGAAAGAGACAGCCCTTGGTCTATTGGAGAAACGCCCTCATTCAACGAACGTGGATTAAACTGCCCTTACTTACCTATCCCCTGTGCTTCAGGAATGGCCCAACTCCTGCCCTCTAGAAACTAGCAGTCCACTGAAGGGAAGATGGTCAGGAATAAGACAGCAATACAAATAGCAACGAAATAAAGGAAAATGAGATCTGGGTAAAGGAGAGAGCCATGCCTAGGGCTGCGATAAATTTAAGGAGGAGATCATTGACCACTTTCACCTGTGAGAAAGGGACAGGTAAACCATAGAAGGCTTGATGGAGAAAGTGCTATCTGAATTGGGTTCTGAAACAACGACTTCAACAAACCGACAGTTCATTCGGGACAAGAAAGAACCAGGCAGGGAGAGGAAACCAGTGTGGCTGAAATGTAGTGCTCAGTAAGAGAAGAATGGGAAGATAAGTTGGGGCCATAACAATGGAGAGCTTTGAATGGTGGTACATGCAGGATGTACTGGAAAGGCAGCTAGGGAAGGGGAGGGGAGAGACCTAGAGGTTGGGAGACCTGTTTAAGAAGCTCTATTAATATTGGGCAGACAACAGGTAAAGAAATCCTGAATTGAGGTGACAGGTGGCAGTAGTGAAGATGGCAAGAAATAGATAAGTCACCAAGACTCAGTACTGACTAGATACATGGGATGAGGAAGAGAGAAGTCAAAGATGGCATTGAGATTTGAAGCCTTCATGACAGGTGGCATGGTGGCACTACCAGCAGAGACCCGCCTTCATTCTGTTCTGCCCACCCCCACCGGGTTCACCTTCCTGACATGCTATTTTTGAGACATCATTGCCCTGCTCAAAAGTCATTGCCTTCAGGACAAAGGCCAAACTCCCACTCCTGACATTCAAGGCCCTCCACCATCTTGCTTCCGCTCTCCTTGCCTTACCTTTTTCTCCAACATGCTTCCTCCTTACTGCTCCACGAGCTCATGTAATCAAGATCCACCCAACAAACCAAGACCCCTTTACCTCTGGTGCCTGGAGCTCGACCTATCACTTGGTCTAGATGCTAAACCCAACTGCTGTCCTCCCTTCCTCCCCCTTGCCACCTGGAAAATGGGCATAATATGCCCCCTCTTGTACTGGGCCAGAAGTCAGTGGGGAGAGCAAGACCTTTGCCTGGCCAGAATAATAGCAAGTCCCAATGTGAGAGTAGTTTAGAAGGTTACAAAACACATTCCTCCTCACAGCTCTCTTCATGCAGGCAGTGTGAGGTTTGTTATTCCCATTTTGCAGAGGAGGAAACTGAGGCTCAGAGGAGGACCCGCCCACTTGTAAACCAGGACTCAAACTCATATTTTCTTATTTCCAGGTCCCGTACTCTTGTCAGAATGTCTCAAATGCCGCAAAGCAAGGAAGGGCTTCAAGAAACCAACAGTCCATTCTTTGCACAAGGATGACTTGAGAAAAGGAAAGAAAATAGGAGAGAGGGCAAGAACCAGGGGTAAGCAAACCAGGGGAAGTGTTCTTGTTCTCTCTCCTTCTTCCTGCCCCCCCACCCCTACCCCCAAGGGTGATCTGAAGTCTTAGCATCTAGTTTGGGGCCATTGAGCTAAGGATCTCTTGGCAACGTGTCTCAAATTTCATAAATAGTTCAACAGGACTCTGCAAAGGAACAATGACTGCCCTTCCATCTTCTTTCTCCATGCTTGGCATGAGAATGTTTGTTATTTTATTATATTAAAATTCCACATGCTCAAAAGCTAATTGGTAGACACGTATTTAGGTGGAACTTTTATTTGCCTCAAATATTCAATATATACTGTTGCCTTATGTGCAAGGGAAATATGCACCCACTGATATCTAGGGGAAGCAGGTATGTGTGCATATGGGCCACATGTGTGGCCTGCCAGGTCAGGTGCCCCAGGAAGCCCTCTCCCATCAGCTAAAAGTGAGGTCTCCCTACTCACATTTTCCTAGAGCATTCTGGTTGATCTCTCCATTGACTACCTTACCAGTACCTAGTATAGTGCCTGACTAATGGTAGGTGTCGATTAAATGCATATTGAAAAACAAAATTGAATACTGTGTAATTCTAATGACTCGCCTCATCGCCAAAGAAAGAAATGATGTCTCTCCTTTCCCTCTTTGCAAAGGCAGAGGAGCATTACATATGCGGTGACTCAGTTGGTTAATTTAGTTAACTGCCTTTTTCCTCCTTGTTTTTTTTTTCTTGTTCTTTTTTTTTTCCAGCCAAAGACAAGATTTATTAGAACATCTGTCGTATTGGGCAGACTCTTAAGGACCCTGAACATTAGTGAGCTATTGGCTAGATTTTAAGAATTTGAGCCTATGGCTAGATTATAAGAATCTGAGCCTATTTTCTTGTTCTTGTTACAAGGGATGGCTTGTTGAGTTGTGGAAGAACAAGGGAGATGTTCAGAAATGAAGATGATATAGGAACAGAAGATATCTAGATTACCCGCCTCAGGGAGGGGGGAGGAAAGAGAGGGAGGAATAGAATTTAGAACTCAAAACTTTTTTTAAAAAATGTTAAAAATTGTTTTATCATGTAATTGGGGGAAATAAAATATTATTAAAAACATAAATAAAAAACAAAAGATATCAACAGTTTAAGAAATAAATTCTTATTGAATTTGATTGAATCAGAAGACATGGGTTCAGGTCCTGACTTTGATAATGTTGCACAGCTATGTGAACATAAGCAAACTGTATAAGCACTCCTAAGCCTCAGTTTTCTCTTTTGTGAAATGAATATAGGAATTCTCTACTATTTGCCTCAGAGGACTGTTGTGAGGAAAACACTTTACAACCTGCAAAAGCACTCTAGAAAACTGAGAGATTTTAATCGTGGGTATTTACAGAACCTTGTGCTCAGCACTGAAAGAGAGATTAAACTCAGATAAGCATGGTCACAGCTTATACCCCAGCTTCGAGCCTAGTTAACCAAACTCTCTGACTCTAGTTTCCTTACACAGCTTTGTGACCTTAGAAAAGTCAAGTCTGAGCCTCAATTTCCCCAACTGTAAAATAGGGGGAAGGAGGGGAAGAAGACTTGGCATGATCTGCCTCACAGGATACCTGTGTAGAAAACATTTTATATACTTGCAAGGGCTATGGAAATGTCAGGCAACGGAAGGAGCTCTCCCTGTGTTTTGAAGACCCTTCAGAGTCTCCTGTGTAACACTGGACAAGCCATTTCCTTTCCCTTTGTAAAAATTAAGACATTTCCCAGGTTATCTCTAAAGCTCCTTTTGGCTGGTCCTATGATTTAAAAAAATCATTAATATATGTGGGAATCCAACAACTATTTATTAAGTGCCTACTATGTGCCAGACACTGATAACACCAAGACTAGAAGGAAGTCAGGTCAGGACCTGACTGCAAAAGGAATCTACTTATTAATGGGGAAAAGATGGCATGTATAAGCTCTCTGCCCGCTGAGGGCAGGCCCCAGGGTAGTGAGTCCTGGATGCCACTGTGCCCAAGGGCCAAGGACAAATGTGTGGCCCTGGGTCCCTAAGGTCCAAAGGGATTGGAAAGGTGGGAGGAGGAGAGAGGAGAACCTCACTGTGTTGTTTGTAAGCATCAGGGCCCATGACAAGAAGAGACTAAGACAATGGTTTACGGGCACACAGAGGGAGTTGGGGCAGGGGCAGAGAGAGAAGCAGAAAGGGTGTGGAGATGCTTTGTTGCTTTGATCTGAGGGCTAAGGGAAGTTTGTCTGAGCCTGGAGAAATAGTGCACCCTATGACTTTGGAGTCCCGGCATGATCCCATCCCTTCTCCCAACAATAGCCTCACACTTAGGGGAGGGGGAGGGGTGCGTTAAAAGCTGGTCAAAGTCATCAGCTGAGATATCACAGGCTTGCCTTCACACAGCAGGCTCCCACTAACTCCTCACTAGGCAGAGGCCTGGAGATAGGGGAATAAACAATGGATTCAGGGGTCAGCAGACTTGGGTTTGAGACCCCACTTCTATTACTTGTCTGACCTGGAACAAGTCTCCTCCCTTTCCTAGGCTTTAGTTTCTCTAGGCTATAAAATGGGGAGATTGGACCAGATGATCTCTAAGGTCCCTCCTAGCTCAAAATCTGAGGTTCCTACCCTGATTGGAATTCATGGAGCCCAAGGGGACTGTGGATAGATTTCAGAGCGTCCTTGAATTTGGAAAGCAGGGGGAAAAATGACATCTTAATTTTCACTATCTTTTGGCATTCTTTGAAATCCTACAGATTTTATTTCATACACTTAAAAACTTGCTTCTGATTCAAGGTTCACAGGTTTCATTGGATTGCCAACCACCCCTGGCTCTCAATTCTATGACTGAGTGGGACTGGCCCAGCATGTTTCCTTGCACACACATAACTCAAGGCCATGGGATGGTAAGATTAAAGAAACTAAAGAGAAGGCTGTGGAGGATGTAACAGCTGGCTTCAAGTATCTGAGGAGCTGCCATGGAAGAAGGGAATTAGATTTAGTCTGCCCAATGCCAGAGGGCAGAGCTAAATACCACGCGTGGAAGTGGTCAAGAGGCAGATTTAGGCTTACATTTAGAGGCAGCCTGAAAGAACCCTGAATATGAAGGACGAAGACTTGGATCCCAGCTCTTCCATTTACTCTCTTTGTGACTTCCAGCCGGTCCCTTCCCTTCTTTGGGATTCACTTTCCTGCTCCATGACCGATAGGAGGAAGACCATGAACTGGATAGAGTCAGGGGAACTGCATGGATGCTGAATTAAAAACCCCGATATTCTTCTGGCTGCAAAGCCCCAAACACCATGCAAGAACCAGAATCATGGGCCATCCAGATGGCAATGGGAAGCTATGTGCTGAATCCAAAGAGACTGCAGCCCATGCCTGACTGTGACTTGAATGCAAAATGTGACGTGAAAG